ATAGATTTTTTTATTAATCAATTATTATTATATAGTATGTAACAAAACTTTTTGGATTTTTTTTTTTTTTTTTTTTTGAGTGGCAAACTTCACATAGATGTATGATTTTATTGATATATAGTGATATCAAATCAATATATCAAATGTCTTCTATTATATATACATATATAAAGTTAATACTGTCTATAACTAAGTATAGCTACTAAGTCATCACTTTTGACCTGATATATATTTATTTAAACACCATCAGGGTGTGACCACATATCGGGTATAATTTTACACAGGGGTGGAAGTCCTATCACTAGTTTAAACCACTACTTACTGAATCCTACTAAGTCATTGGAAGCGTGTATCTTTCAAGGTTAGTTAGAACATCCGAATAACCTGTTCAATACTCTTCACTTGAAACCTTGAAGAAGATACTGTACTTATTCTCACCATCTGTGGCTTCTGATTATCCTTATAGGGAGTCACTTATTTTAAGCAAGTACCAGATTGAAATAGTCTTAAGCTAGGGTGTTCTTTGTGCTACAGAGTCTGCCGTATTAGGAGGGTTTGTAGACTTATTATAAGAGTTAAACCATAAGCCTTTCCTCATGCAACCTTTTCTGCTTCAACCTGTTTTCAGCCCGTGATCATCAAAAAAACCAGAGGTCCCATCTTCATGCAGCCTAACTAAATTTGTATAGGATCTGGATGATTAGATATAACTTTTACAGAATAATTGGTAAGCCTGATTAGAAGAATAATTTCGATTTTTGGTCCTTAGGTAGTATTGAACTACAAACCTTGTGATTATGACCTGAGAGCACTACTACTGTGCTATGGATCCACAGGTCTAACTTTTTGAAATTTTTTAAAATACATATTTTTGTTTATAAATTAATAAAAAATTATTCAAATTATTTAAAACTTTATAATAAAAAAAAAACTCTCTCTGCTGATCCTCTAACCATACACAAAAAAGATGTTCACAAGAAGTTTTAATACTTCTATGCTAATAAAGTCTTATTACTTTCTTTAAACCAATTCAAAAAATCTCTTCAGAACTTTCTTACCTTCCCCCTTTATTGTTTACAATCTTCTTTGAACAAACTAGACTTTCATGATCTACAAAGTTCAGCTTTCACCTTTACTACCTATGGAAAGAAAGTTTCTAAAGGAAGAAGGACAAACGCTGAAGTATTTCTCTCTCTCAGTTATGGTAGAGATAACAGAGGCTCTTAACTGGTTATAGGACTTACTCTTTTATCCTTTGACTAGTGTTCTGACCTCTTAGAGCTATCTTTTTCATGGCTTTTTGGGGAATTTTGCCTACCACAGCTTGACCCTGAAATTTTGGGTAGCACAGATCTTATCAACTCTAATTGGATAATGTAAAACATGTTGAACAAGATTGATAAACAAGCTCCTATTGGCCATATCATGTGTCTGAATGCATTTCCTCAGTTCCATAAGAACTTGGGGTCCATCATAAGCTGTTTTGCTTTTGTTGCGTGGGTGGATACAGGACATGCTCTCTTATATCAGCAGTAATCCAAATGAAAGAGTCCATCCAATCATAATAAAGATTACAAGACACTTCAATTATTTTTGGCATTAGAGTCACCTACTCTTGGCAGCCAAGTAGATTTTTGCAGCTCAGGCAGATAGGTGAAGATCTGCTTTCTTTTAAAAATAAAAACAAACAAGGTGGACAGGAATTTTTTCTCAGCCAGCAAGTTTTTTACTCCTAATTCATGGTTTATGGAAGGACCACAAACTGAAGAACCATATCAAGAACCCTAATATGACTCCTCTCAAGCACGGTTTTCTAAGGCCACTAGTGGTACCTACCAATCTTACTTCTAGTGAAAGTACTCAAATGGAAACTTTTATCAGATGGGTAGATTCCCTAAAGACTTAACATGACTTTGGAAGACTTGTGCCTTTTTAAACAAGTAGCATATGCTTGAAACTAACATTATCTTTAGAACCAGGTCGACAACCCTTCCAAAGGTTTCAAGGTATCCTCCTAGCTGTAGGTCTTGCCAGGTTCTTTGAATAAGTAATTCCCTAGGCAGAGCAAACCATTCCCCTTCCTTTTTTAAGTAAGATAATCACTCTCTTTCTTCCTTTCAAAGATTAGAACACAGCACCCCAGCAGATAATTTGTAGGTATTGACAGTTTCATGGTAGAAGCTTCAGTGAACGATCAGCAGCAGAAAAAATTTAGATCATCGCTTAGCAGCCCTCTGATGTTTTTTTTTTTTTTTTTTTAGTTACCCTTCCTTGATAATAATTATAAGTAATATAGTCACTAACTTGGCCTAGGCAAGTTAGTTTCCTATATGGGAGGCAATAGACCGTGGAGGTCCTTATAGGATATCTGAATCGAGAGGAATCCTTGTATATAATTTTTTAACATACATGCTAGTATCAATGCTAAATTTGTAGTTAGCTCTAAAGTAAATAATACATATTTAATATTATATTTAAAGTTAATAAAAGCCAACCGAAGGTTGAGCCAATTAAAAAAAAAAAAAAAAAAAAATTAATTAGAGGATTTATTCAAGTTAGTAAAGAAGCAAAATATCATTCCCTAAGTTGCATCTAGAGAAATAGGTTTTCGATAATAAGTAAGTTAGTATGTAAAAGTCAAAATATTTGTAGATATCCTTGTATATATATAATAAAGACATGCTATATTGACCTAACTATGGATTAAAAAAAAAAAAATAAATAAAATAATTTATTTTTTTTTTTAAAAATATATATATAAATAAACTCTTTTTGCTAATCTCTTGACAACATATAAAAAAGACATTCACAAAAAGTTTTATGCTTTTTTGTTAATAAAGTTTTATTACTTTCTTTAAAACAACTTAAAAATTAACTTCAAGAGTTCTTTTCAATTCTCTTCTCTTATTTATATTTCTTTTTAAACAAAAACATGACTTTCAGTAATCAAGAAAAATCAAGAAACATCTTTTTTACCTATGACAAGAAAGTTCTAAAAGGAAGAAAAATCAATAGTGAAGTACTGAAAGCCTATCTTCTGAAACAAGAATGCAACTAGAAATTTTGTGCAGTAGATAGACAGATGAATAAAAGCCTAAACTATAAAACTTTTCTCTTCACTGTTTCTATCCTCTTAGAGTCACTCATTTTTCAGAGTTTTTGGAGAATTTTATCTATTTCAACTTGATTCTGAATTTTGAGGTAATGCAAAATTGACATAGCTTTTGCTAAAATGACATAAAACATATTGATAGTAGAATATAAACAAGCTTCTACTAGTTATATTATATGTTTTAATGATATTATTGATGAAAGAAAAAAAATCATTAATATGGACTTCTCTACTTCTTCAAATAAAATGTAACTGAAGCAAAGAAATCATGAGACCATTAGAATGGGCACCAAATTTTCTAGTTGTTGAAAAAATAGTTATTTATTTAAATTAAGGTCTTCAACTTTTTATTATTCTAATTAGACAAAGTATATGAAAGAGATTATTTCCTTATTTTAGTTAGGCTATAAAATCAAAAAACAAAGAAATGTAAAATATTGTCCTTCTCTAGGATTAAAAATACATTTTCCCAGACATTGTATAATGATATTACAATTAAGATAAATATTAGTAAAATTTCTTTAACTAGATATGACTGTTGAAAAATATTGGGAGTTATACAATAAGATTGAAAAATCACATAAGAACTTGGGATCCACTATTAATCATTCTGTTTTGCATGTGTGGATAAAAAATCAAGATCAAAAGAAAGAAAGTATTGAACAAGACATTAGATCTGAATAGGCAATAAGTACTTCAGACAGTTACAAGAAAATAATTAAAATCACAGATAAATAAGCTTCTCAAATGATTAAGAAAAAGAAGGGTATCTCAGAAGGATTGACTTTTAATAAGAAGAGGTTTTTAGTAAAGATCCTTTGAAGGATATAAAATACTTTTCTTTTTCCTTTTTTATTTTCATGTAGTACAATTGTGCATTTTTAGATATATACTTTCCTTTTATTTTCTTTTTTCTTTTTTATAATTTCTTAAAATCAATTCCTTGGAGAATAATAAGTAGCAACAATCTGCTGACAATAATGTATAAATTAGAAAGATATTTATCCAAAATCTACTATGGAACAAAATATTGTTCACAAGGTTGTACTTAGAGGTTGAAGCTCTTTTGAGAATTGAAAGTCATTGACAAGTAAGTTAATATGAGTTTTAGTTTAGCTATGATGCAATTGTTCTATGTATCTCTATCAATTTTCATATTGATTAATAAACACATGGTGCTGACCTGACCACAGGTTTATAAAAAATTAAAAAAAAAAATAATTTATTTTTTTTTTAAATAAAACTCTTTAAATGGGCTGAAAATATGAAATGAAATAATCAATCTTTGACATTTGTAATTATGCTTAAACAATTATACATATTTGTAGATGATATACACTTTGTATTGGTCTAACTGAAAATTAAAATTTTTTTCTTTACCAAAATAAGGCTTAACCCCGATATTAACTTTTCCACGTTTGGTTAAAAGATCAAATCGAAGATTTTGGTATAACGCATATCGGGATATGCATGCACCTGTCAAGCAATCCGTGATGTTTCATTTACAAGAAAAGATTAGGAAATTATCTTCAAAGGAATTGTGAAATATAGAATGTTATTATATTTTAGGATTATAATCACGTGTTTTACGTTATAGATTTCCGTGTCATATTTATTTTACGCAAGTTAAACACAAATGTATCACTCCGAAACCCATTGTGTATAAAGTTTCAAGCGAAATCAATCGCGTAAGCCAGGAGACACGTTGTTCGTGCCTAGAATATTTAATTCATTCAAGCTAAAGTTTCTATTCCATCTTCATTGTCACTCCTTTTCTTCTTTGCGTCGTACAAGATGCGAAAGTCACTGACTGGAGTAAATTTAGTTATTTCGAATTTTCTTCATCTCGTGCATAGTAATTCACCAATGAATCCTAACAAGGCACATATTACCCATCGATTTGTGTCTCAGTTCTCATGACGGGTCCAGATGGACAGGGTGAGTCCATGACTTCATCATCTTCACTTTCATCACCATCGTCTAATGACAAAGTTCGCATGTTACACGACAAGATTCGCGTTTCTTCACCCGTTGGTGGTTGTTGCCGCTGCTTTTGTTGTCTGCGAAGTGCTGCAGCTTTAACATCAAAGAATGTATCGTCTACTAATACATCGTCGTCGTTGTCATCACTTGGATAAACCTCTTCCTTGTTATTTTTTATTATATTGAAGGGATTCTCGATATTCGTAATTGAGTTTTCTGATCCCTTGATTTCTCGTATGTTGTTGGTGAGCGTGTTAACTGGTGACGTAGTTAGGTTATCTCGGGGTGGATACTTTGACAATCTATCTGCATCACCTACGGGAGCCGGTTGATCTAATTTCTCGGCGTTCGGTGATGAAGAGATGTGGTACTTTTTGTAGATATCATAACCAAGTTCCGAATTGAATACCGAAGAAAATGTGTTCAGAGATTTGTTAAAATAATGATTGTCCTTATTTGTACTAATTGGAGTTGATGGTATGGGACTCATCATGCTCAAGAGGTCGTCCACTATTATTTTAGCGGCTTGTTTGGCCGGGGTTTTTAGGATTTTCGATGGCGCCATTGAAAACTGAATTGTGACTGGTGGGGAGAAGTCGGTAAAATCAAAATCACTATCAGTACCCGTCGCTGATGATGGAAATCCGGGATGGGCGGGTCCGGGGCGAGGTGTAACCGTTCCCTTCGCGGTCTCACTGACTTCCTTCGTAGGTTTCATCGGTGTTTTGTTTATAAAGTTTTGTCTTTGCATCACGCGTTCTATCAGTGTAGTTGGTTTCGGTTTGAGATTGTCTGATGGAGGTATAGTTGGCAAGGAGATTGAAGTTGATGCGGTAGTGCGAGAAATATTGTTTTCCCAGTTTAGTGATTGCATAGCCTTATGGGCATATTGAGGTGGATTTGGTAATGGAGTCGACGTAACGGAATTGTAGCTATTCAAAAAAGGAGGAAGAGTAGGGGGAGTACTCGTGGTTCTGCTGTCTTCAGATATCAATGGGTTGTTGTCATCAACAAATTTTCTTTTGTTTGAATTAATTATACTTTCGGCGGTTTGGGGCTCCAATTTTAGTGGAATGACACGCCTTTTGGAGAGGTCAACAGAGTTCACCGAGCTTTTATTTGTTTTTGAATCCGAGTTGGCTTCAAAAAGTTTTTTTTTTGAATTAATATATTCCATGGAAACCGGCGAAGTGCTATCATTCGAAGACGATAAATCCAGTGACTCTAGAAAAGACCACCATAACTTTGAATTTTCCCAAATGTCTTCTGAAACTTCCGCAAATCGGGATATCTGTGGTAATATCTTGGTAGTAACGACATGTTGACACGTGGAAAAGTTGTTATCTATTTCCTGAAGTGTCAAGGTAATATTTTGATCCAACTTTTCGAGACGCGCCGTTAATTCGTCAACTGAAGAAAAAGCCATTTGACTTAATCGAGTGCGTGTGTTGTTATTTTGTACATCAGCCGTGCTGCAGGCGAGCTTGACCCCTTTCGTCTCTGGTGTAACAATGCGTGAGGAATCATAGTATAATTAATTAACCCGTTCCTTTGCATATATACATACATTACCTTTGGGATCTAGTTTTCAACACGATAGGAAAAGAATGTCTTCTTTCTCCTCGGGGTCTCCTTATGCAAAGCGCAAACCGGTTCCCGATTCTCCCGACTCTGTCCCATCAAAAAATAGTAGCAAGGCAACAACTGATTTAGGGAGTTATGCGAATCAAGTTCCAAGGGCACCCGCAAAATCACCGCTAAGAAATTCGGGAGCTGGTACTCCAACTGGTGCAGTTAGTGGGTCGGCACAAACTACCAACTTACAACCTGTCATGAGCACAATGCAAATTTCCAATTCTCTTTCACATCTTTCGGCGGCGGACTCATCCTCATTAAATTCGTCATACGAATATGGCTTATCGTCTTCTGGAAAAAAAGATTATGGAGAATTGGATATTAATTACAAGGCAACCTCGTCGAGCGCAACTGGATTTACACCGGTTGACAATACATCCTCACCACCGATATCACCAAAGATTAAGTTACCTTCGCTGGCGATCGCGAACGATTTGCTGGCTTCTTCTGAAGCAATGCTCGCTTCTGTCACCGCGCCAAAATCGCCACCTGGAACTTCTTTTTTGGACACCACAGATGACATGCTGATGCAGCTATTGATTTCTCAGGCGATAATCGATTCAAGGGATTTTAACGTCTTAACTTTGGAGGAAGTTGAGGAACTAAAAAAGGTGAGAAGCGATGTCTGTTTTCTTTATTTGTTTGTATATTTCTATCGTTTTTTTATCATTTATTTTTTACCTTTTTTCCTTTACTTTTTATTCTTGATAATTAACAAACCATTGTGCAACTATTTTCGCAGGATCATTCCTTACTGACGACACGTATTTCAGCTCTCACATCAAAATTGTCGCTTGAATCGAAAATCCGAGAAGCCGCTAGCTCACTTGCTCGACTTCATTCCTCGAATAAAAGATTGTCTAGACAAGCGACCGATCATCTTTCGCAGGCCAACAGAAAAGTTGATCAAGTCGCCACCGAGCTCTGGAAGTTGACGCAAAGAGCCGGCGAAGTTCAGAGGAAATTGTTACAACATATGGCCGGAATTCTTAGCATAGGGTTTCGCAAGTTAGAAGAGAAACAGAACCAACCAGCACCGCAGAATCCCGTCAATCAATTATGGGGAGGTGGCAATGGAATTGATCACTTATTCAACGAAATCATGGGAGTAGATTCCAGGGGTTCGGATGCAGCACTGTCAGATAAAGTTTCGAATTTAGAGAATTCCATTCAAAATTTGCATCAAACACTTGCTGAAGCCAGGATGGCATTAAAAAGAAAAGATAAAGAGATCGAGGAATTAAAACAAAAGGCTGACGACACAGCAACAGAGTCAAGGGAGAGAACTATTGCTGAGCTGAGGACCGAGTTAGAAGAAGTTGCAAGTCGGTTAGACATAGTGCTCCGAAAGCATAAGGCAGGAAATCGAAAAAATAGTGCAACTTCCGAGAACGAAGATTCCGATGAGTCCGATTCAGGTGGATCAACCTATCGGTTGTCAACGATGACCACAGCGACGCAACATTTACAAAAGGAGCAATATAAAAACATATCGGATAACATGAGTGCACTGGAGAAAGCCTTAGAAGAGTACATGTTCCACATATATAAATTAGAACAAGAATTGAATTCCATCAAAAGCAATTCTGACGGCGAACCAAAGTCACAACAGAATGAGTTGCAGGAGGCGTTAGGAGATTTGCAACGTGCAAAAGAAGAATCAGAATCTGATAAGCAGAAAATCGAAGAGATGACGAACGAATTGTCGGAATTGCGAACGAAAGTGCAAGATCTGGAGACAAAAATCAAAGATGTGGAGCCAAAGACTTCTGGCAGAGGGGTGGTCCAAAATAAAATGAATGATATCAACATGGAGTTAAAATTGAAAAAGTTGACACGAGAGCATGATGAATTAGTCGATTCGCTTAGGTTGGTGCACATGAAGCTTCCTGACGAACGAAATCCCGGAGGTAGTTTCAGAAAACCTAAGTTTACGGTTGAATTATTCCTATCTCGAGTAAAGAATCTGGGGGAAGAGAATAGAGAATATGTAGAGCAGATATCGTCATTGGAGTCACGATTGCAGAGTGCGCAAAAAGAGCAAGTGGGCGAATCAAGTCAAGGTGATTTAAAGGCTGAATTGGAATCCACGCGTAATGAACTCGAAGAAACAAAGTTAAAATTGTTAGACTTGGAGTCCAAAGCTGCTAGCGCCTTGTCCAACGTGGAAACCAGTAACGCGAAAGGTTCCGAATTGTTGAAAGAATTGGACAAGGTGAGAGAGGAATTGATGGTAGCGAAGGAGAACATAAGAAAATATGAAGCTATACTTAAACGGCAGTCGGTTGTGCAGGTGGTGGACAATGGCGTCTCAATAAAGGAGGAATTTCAGCAACAATTGGCTGCACAGGAGCAAGAGTATGAGGCACAAATTAAGGAAAGAGATTTCACCATCACAAAGTTGAGAAATGATTTGCGGGGTGTTACCACCGAAAAGGAAAATGCTTCGCAGATGATCACAGATTTGGAGAACATGCTGAAATCAAAATCGAGGACTTTGGATCAGAGGGAAGTTACAATAAATAAATTGGAGGGAGAAATTGAAACGCATAAGGTAAAGCTCGCGGAGTTGAAGGCTACGACAAATTTGGTATCCTCGAGAATAAATAAATTTGGTGATGACGCGTCTTCAGATGGCAGAGATGAGGGGCTCAGGTCGCAAGTAAATGAAACGAACGAAGAGATACAGCGTCTACGGTCCTTAAATGAAAATCTTGAATTACAGGTGAAAAAACTTAAGGAATCCTTAGCCGAAGCACAGAAACAATTTTCAATGCGTGAAGAATCGATGGAGAAACGTTCCGAGATTATGCAAAATGAATTGGATGGGATTCTCAGGGAGTTTGACAGGTTGACAAAGAACTTTATCGATTTCGATACCGAAAGACAAAAGTTACAGGCTCACATAGACGAATTACAATTGAAATGTGAGAAGCTCGAGAATGAATTAGCGGACGAAAAGATCAAGCACCTGGGGATGGATACCGCCAATTCCGAGCCTACTACCACCGTCACGTTAAGGAAGGAATTCCGAAAGATGATGGCGGATTTGAGGAGTGATAATCAGAAATTGTTGCATCGTGAGATAGATGAAAAAAAGAAGTTGGAGGCCGCCGTGAGGAACCTTAAACGTGAGAGGGAGGCTGAAAAATGGGAGAGAGTTAACAAAGGCACTCAAACTAGATTTGTGATTAGCGTTGGATCCGGATAAATGAAAATTATTTATTTATTCATTGTAATGTAAAATAATGCATTTCTCATCTTTTTAATAAAGAAATAAAATTTTCAGTATCGACAATGTCAGCTAGGTGTGAAATTTCCTGGGAAAAAAAAAATTTTTTTTTTTTATACGCACGTATACAATAGCGTGGAATATACATGTACGCATGCGTGTTCATTTCAGATGGGATCATGTGCTTTTCTTTTTTTTTTTTCGACAAATGTCGATACTTGCTTTTCCAAAAATATTCATCCGACATGAAGATCAGAAAAAACCTGCCCGTATCTCGCGTCTCAAATTTGAACTGATACGTACGTCCAAGGCAGACAGATGTGATATAATAATTGTATGCACACACAATGCGTAATTAGTGACGTGTTTAATTGGTGCTTATTTTATAATTTCTTTAGTAGTGATGGATCCTTTACTCGCGATACATCTCATTTCTATAATAAGCATAATGAAATCACATTAAAGAAAAAACTTTATTTATTTGCAAAACGTGCTCGAGGAAAGTGTGCGAATGGAAATCCACCAATCACAATCAATACCAAGATGTTTATACGTTTGTATGTAGTGCAACATGGACTCAAAATTGAGTTAAAACAATACAGCAAAGCGTGCGGTTTCGTTCCTTTGAAATATTTCTGAAATGACTCATGTTGATCCTCCGCGCGGGATTTTCACACTCCCCACGCCCGCCAATTCCATAGATCCCTTTTGGGACGTTATCAAATCCAATGAACACTTTACGCTTCAAAGAACCAAGGCAGCCTCGAGCAATACATTCTTTAGAGGTGTATTCGGTACCATACAAAATGTGTACGTCGAACTTGTTCTTGAAGTTTGGAACGGTTCCTTGATTGATTTATTCCTTCTACTCCTCAATCTCAATCTCAAACTCACGTCATAATAGCTTGGACACAAAGCAACCACCCTTTCGTATACTTTTCAGATCCGATATAAATAGCATTTCTCTGCAAATCGCTGTCTCGCAGACCGAAAAAGGCATCGAGGATGCCTGGAAATGGGTGGAAGGTATGCCCGTCAATTTTAGCTCTAATCGAAATATTAAGTTACCTAGTATATATATATATAATATATATATATACTTTTCCATTGCAGATAGTTTCAATGAAGGATTGCTGAAACTCGACATTCCTTCGGAAAAAGAAAACTTTGTGGAGACGAAAATAAAATCGTTGGTTACTAGACAAGGTAATCTCATCTGGCGATACATTTAAATCCGTGGTCCCCATCAGCCACACATTGAACCCTCTTTCGCATCCAATGATGCAGATAAGGGAACCGACGAAGTTTCCGAGGACGAAAGTGTCCGATCTGCGTCCAGAGCTTTTCGCCAGACGTTTGACGTGGCACCGACCGAGAGATTGGTCAATTGTAAGTAGTTATGTTTCGCATTTTCCTTCAATCGTTTCAGGTTTCTCTAATCCCATCAATTGATAGTCTACTCTTGTGCATATCGCGGTATAAGTCAAGGATGGATGTATATTAGCGAGAATTATTTATGCTTCTATTCCTTCGTGTTGGGAATAGAAACCAAGTTATTTATTGAGTTAAAAGACATCCAGAATTTAGCAAAGGAGAAATCAAAACGTGGAATGATTCCGGATTCCATAAAGATCATAACGAAAGATGAACAAGAGGTTTGGTGTTCTCATTGGGAAATATCATTTGCTGCTTGAAGAGAGACGCATATTCGGTGCATTTTAATCGATCTGTTGTTTATTCACTCGTAGCATTTCTTCTCTAATCTTTTTCATCGCGATGAGGTAACCAGGAAGATTCTTATTATGGCATGCAGCCCGTGTCTCTTGAATTGAATGCATGATTTTTGCTTTTCAGACGTATGACCTTTTGGTCCAGCTAACGACCCTGGCCATGCAGCGACTGCTGAAAAATGCCTCCATTGACCCAGCTCCAGGGACGCTATACGATTTTGAACAAGACTTCTCAAGTCCAAGAATTGACGTATCTTCGAGTCAGGAACCCCTGATGTCTCCCATGGTTCCTCCCTTGAAGAAAGGACTCGAAGAGCAAAAGCGAGATAAAAAATTTCAAATATTTTTCAACTTACCCACGACGGAGCATATGATGCAAGAATGTGTTTGCGAGTTTTCGACGCCCGACACGGATGTTTGCAATGGCAAACTTCAACTTTCCGAAGGTTACCTCACTTTCGTGTCCGTGGACGGAAGGAGTTGTAGTCTAGTGGTACCATTATATACCGTTCGTCGCGTAGAACGAATTAACAGCAAGACTCATGCATTCGCTCTCTCTATTACAAATTGGCATCAAATGAAACTACTGTTTCATATTAACGAGTCAAAATCTTTCTTCGAGAAGTTTTGTAATGTTCTCAAGGACAATCTAAAATCCCAGGTTCGTCACATGAAACACCTACGACCTTTCCTGAGCACGTGCTTTTCGGAAACTCTGTTGTCTGATCCAAAAAAAGACCAAACCGTCGGGGGATTGGGATTAATATTTGGATTTCCAGGGGACTCTAAAAAGTAAGTCTCGTTGATTTGATGATTTGTCAAAGGAGCAAATTCACATATTCTCATCAATTTCAGGTTGAGAGACAGATACAAAACCAAGCTTTGGGTTGAATATATTAAAAGTACGTCTTTGTAAGATACGCCCTTTGTTTTTAATTCTCATTCCATGATTCACGATTTATCCAAATGCAGCAAATGGTCGGAACCTAACCCTTATAAAGTACCCCTATTTTTATAAACTTGTTCGCATTGGATTACCAAACAAGTTGCGCGGTGAAATGTGGGAACTTTGTTCCGGCGCGATGTATCTGAGATTTATGAACGAAGGATTGTATGAAAAGTTGAATAAAGACTATGCTGGTAAGGTGTCCCTCTCTACGGAAGAAATAGAAAAGGATTTAAACAGGTGACCAAGAGAACATTTCGTGATCCGCTTGTCCCTGCGTGAATTATATTAAATATTTCGTGGATTTTTACCGTACAGATCTCTCCCCGAGTATTCTGCCTATCAAACGGCAAAAGGGATTGATACCTTGAGACGTGTTCTAACTGCCTATTCGTGGAAGGATCCTGAATTGGGTTATTGTCAGGCAATGAACATAGTCACGTCCGCTATATTGATGTGAGTATCGCAGATTCTCATGTTTTTTTTGTTTTTGCTTTTTTTTCCTTTAAAGTAGAGAAGGGTGTTATTCCTGTCGGAATTATAAAAAATTGGTTCAAAATGCGCCATAATATCAAAACTTATGTATAAGACATAATGAATTATGGCGCATTTTGAAAGTTTTAATTTAACGCACTTGTAATTCCTGCCGGATTTATAAAAATTTGACCCCGAATATGCCATAATACACTTTCTTCCTTATGTTTCATCAATTTTTTTTTTCTTTCATCCCTATTATTCTCGTTTTTTCATCTTAGATTTATGAGCGAGGAACAAGCCTTCTGGACTTTGAGCGTACTTTGTGACCGGATGTTACCCGGTTATTATAGGTACGTGAGAAGATTTTGACACCTAGAACCCGATTAGTATTGTTCTGGACCTAAAAATTCTCGGTTTTTGTTTAAGCACCTCTATGTATGGTGCCATATTAGATCAAATAATATTTGAATATTATGTTCAACAGAAGATGCCAATGCTTTATGAGCATTTCCAGAACGTTGACGTCCAGTTGTCAGTAGCGTGTTTACCTTGGTTCCTTAGTCTGTATATCAATTCCATGCCTCTTCTCTACGCCTTTCGGGTGCTGGATTGCTTTTTCATGGAGGGACCGAGAATTTTATTTCAAATTGGGTAGGATTTATTTACAAATACGAATACTTAGGATCCTACTTCTGTTTGCATTGTTTGCATAGCCTAACTTCAATCATTTACTACACAGATTAGGTAAGGTATTTTAAAGAAAACTATTTTCCTTACGAGATATTGATCGTTTCGTCCTTTTGTATTCCAGCTATCTTAAAGGTTAATGGGAATGACCTTATGGAGATTTCTGATGACGGAGCATTCATAAACGTGTTAAAGAATTATTTTTCATCATTGGACAGTCCCGCCCATCCTAATAACAAAAATCCGAAATTCCGGGAGATAACAAAATTCAATGAACTCATGGTAGTAGCCTTCAAAGAATTTGAAAGCATTACAACCGAAAGTGTAATCGAATTACGAAAGACACATCAGCTTAAGGTGGTTCATAACATTGAGAGTTTCACAAAAAGGAGCCTGATACGTAACCTTCGCGACACATCAAAGTTTACCAAGAATGATATTTCTGTAATATATGATAAATATTACAACGCTCAGTTTTACGGTAAACAGCGTAGCGTTAGAAACGACTCTCGAATGGACTTGAACACCTTCTATCGATTTATTGGAAGTATCGCAAGTTGGGCTAAATTAGATGATGAATTTAACAAGCATAACGGTTCACTGCGGGATAATAATGGACGTAGGCTTGTAGGATATGAATTTCTTGATAGGTTGTTCAATCACTTTGACAGGTCTTCATCCGGTGGGTTAAGCCTGCAAGACGTTGTACTTGGACTCGGCGAAATTGTCTTTGGGGATTTAATGTCCAGAATGGGTCTTTTTTTCAGGTTACACGATGGCGACAACGATGGTTTCTTAAAGAAAGAAGAAATTTTGCAAATGTCTGAAAGCTTTTTATTTATCTTTCGTTTTCGCCAAGACGACGGGCACCTCGGCTCCGTGTCAAATTTCATTAAGAATTCTTTTGAATTCAGTGATGTCTCTAATGAGGCCATAGTTAAAGATAAGAACCTCACCGAGGTGGATTCAATAAGTGACTCGGAGGCTCATCACCGGGTGTCACTTTCGACATTTCGTATGATTGTTCTGGCTAACGAGTACCTAGAAAAGTTTTTCGATAGTGACTTTGCCACGACATTCCAATTTGTTGAACCACCTGAGGAAAGACAAAAGGGACTTGGACGTGAAATATTTAACGTGCTAATGTCTGACGGAATGAAATTAGCAAACCGACTCGGAAAACGACTTAACGAACATCGAAAATCACAGATCACTGGTCGAAGAAAATCGAAAGCCCCCGAATCACCGTTATCAGATAAAACGGATGGTGACGATAAAGCTGTCAAGGAGAATAAAGCGAATGAATCTGATAAAGTTGGTAAAATTGAAGATTCCGAAAGTGCAGTAAGTGCTGATAATGTGAGCACCATTAATAATGAGACCTCCGATAAGTCGGGATCGAATTCCACCTCATCCAAACGCCGTAGTGGAAGATTTTCCCGAAGGCGTTCAAATGCTTCTGAAAAATCCGAACATTATCAGGGAAGAAGCGAATCGCCAGAGTCATTATTGTCAATGGAATCTGCTGAATCTTCGCTCAAAGCGCTGAGGAGTGCTTCACCGCATTCGTTTGTTTCAGAAGATGAAGACGATCAACTTTTAGAAGAAGTGGACAGACTCCTAGATGAATATAGCATTGAAGAACCTGGTAGGAATCATATATATATCCAAATACAATTGATCTCTTTTCATCTCGAAATGCAATGCATGTTAATCGTAAGTTCAATTTAAGCAAACGACTACACGAAGGCAAACGATGAGTCTGCCGGTAAGTACACGATAATCTGATTCTCATGTCTAGAGTTAATTCTAAACCTTTTTTTTTTTTTAAAAAAAAAAAAGATTTGATGGCCGAAGATGACGTGGACAAATTACTTCAAGACATGCAGGCGACCAATTAATCAATTCTAATATGTTTCTCCATAATTTGTCGTGTATTATAATAAATTTTGATAGAATATCCTGTACTCAAATTTTATTCATGTAATCTATGAATTCTTATTTATTATTCCTAGTGTTAAATAGTTTTAGTAGAATGTCTATAGAACGAAGAACTATATATCCCATTGCATATCTAACTTATTTAATTAATGAATTTTCTTTTTTCTTTTATTATTCGCGGTAAAGATCATGTCAGCCATTGCATTAAAATAGCTTTCATGTCACTAAAATATTACTACGTTATATTATTTATTATTATCATTAAATGTGCATATGTAATAAAATAATTTCTTGACATGAAGATTTAAAATGAAAGGCAGTTTTTAATTTATTTTGCCTTATAACTTTGTCTTTATTGATATATTAAATAATTTTTACATTAACTCATCCCAAGTCTAGTTCTATGCTTTATTAATAAAAGATCATATTTAGTGTCAACTGGGATAAACAAGGATTTATAAATCTCTAGAGAAGTTATAATACAATGGATCAATTATTTACATATCTCAATTTAAGTTTAATACAATCAAAATAAAAAAAGATATTATATTATCTAATATAAATATTTTCTTTTACTAATATCACAAATAATATTATCACTAGTCAAAATTATATCATTCGGTTGCTGAATTATTGTCGAATTTGACAAAAATTAATAATAAAAGATTGACGAATTATTTATGATTGTTGTTACCTGGCATTAAAAATATCAGTAAAAAATTTGTAAAAAAATATTGATATACTGTGAAAAAAAAATTTAATACAAAATTCATTAATATTGTGATAAAAAAAATTTTTATATACTGTGACAAAAAAAAATTTTTTGTATACTATGATAAAAAATTTGACAAAAAATTGGATATTGTAAAAAAAATTCAATAAAAAAATTAATACTACAGTAAAAAATTTGACAAAAAAATTATTGTGGTAAAAAATTTAACAAAAGAATTATTGTGAAAAAAAATTAAACAAAAAATTGATACCGTGACAAAATATTTGACAAAAAAATTACTTCAGCAAAAAATTCAAATTTCACAAAATTTATTAAAAAATTACAAAATCAATTAATTAAATTATTTGTCATTTTCCTCTTTCTCTTTCTTCTCTTTCTTCTTTTCACTTGCTTTTCTTTTTCCTTTAAAGATCTTGCTTGACTTTTTTAAAACTAGCTCCAATTGATTTTACCTTGTCAAATATTTTTACCAATTTTTCACTTTTTTTTTCTAATCTAACTGCTCTCAAATTTTATCTATTCATGCACTTTCTCCAATTTGTTTTTCACACTCTGAATACATTAATGATTCCTTATATTTGATAATTTTTTGTCTTTTGGATTTAACTACTGATTTTTTTTCTTTTCTTGTTTCTTTTTCTTGTTTATATTTCAAAATTTCGTTTAAACTGGATGTTCAATTCGGCAAGTCTTCTGGTGATATCATGTTATAAAAATATGAATTGTATGATATCATTTATGAGTTGGCTAGAATGCTTAAATTGATTTCGAATATTTATCCATATATTTTAACAAATTCTTTAACTATAAGAAGTAATTATGATTAATATTGTAATTATTTGGTATAAAATATTTTGCTGAAAAATACTTTTTTAGAATATCAACTGTAATTATATATATTTTATTCTTCTTTTAGTGGGTTTCCCAGATCAGTCTCACTTTCTTTAGGTAAATGCACCTTTGTTTTTTTAATTAAATCAGTTAATTTATTTTAATATTTGGCAATTTTCATGACTTTTGTTTAACAAGCAACTGTTACTCTTAATTCTTCATATTTTTTTCTTAATTATTTGTTAAAAATTAATACTTAAAAGTAGTATAAATGCAGAATATTATTAATTTTACTTCATTTAATTGGCTATTTGCATGTAAGTGATAATTGTTTATTTCCAGTTTTTTAATTTCTGTCTTCCGATATTTTCCTCTCTAATGGCAATGTAAAGCATCTAACTATTTATTTATTTACTTTAAAAAGGAATCAAAATGTAGAGCCATGGATTTTTTAATTTGGGTATCAATTTTTGTAATATTTTTTTATTTACATTATTCAAAAAAACTTCATTTACCCTTAGTTTATATTTATCAAAAATGGTTTTTATTAAGATCTTCATTTCTGCTCTCACTTCTTCTAATTTTGACTTATCTTTGATAATTAGTTTTATCAGTTTTACCTCATTACTACTTTTTCTAGATTGAATTTTTTGATACTTTCTTAAACTTAGCAAACTTTCAGATTCTAATAAATCAACTACTCTAGATTCTACAACAATTATAGGATCAAGTTCAGATTTCACAGATTTGAGCTGATCAATTTTCTTTTTTAAATCTTTTATTTTATTTTTTTTGTTGTTCTAATTTTTCAAAAAACTTGTTATTAATATATTCTATTAGGTCTAATTGTTTTACAAATTCAGTATTTTCTCTTTTTAGTTTTTCAATTTACGTGTATAATTCTTCATTTTTTAAATAAATCATTTAATTAATAAAAATAAATTTTATAATTCAGCAATAATTTAATTTTAATCTTTTTCAACTTCTGGTGTTAATATTTGTGCAACCTCAGATACCAATATTTTAGGCAATATAATAGATAGTTTTTTTCTAAGTAATTCAATAGTTATGATAGAGATTGAAGATTTGATATCAAGTATTATTGAATGAACTGTTGCCGCTTCTTATGTAATTGATATGAAGAAAATTTGTAATGACAAAGAAGATTGTGAAGGTTGCAAAGGTGAAGGCAGCTATTTTCTGTAAAAAGCACATCCATTTTATTTTTTTTGTTCAGATTTTTTGGATATCAGAAAAAATATTAAATCAAAGGAATATTTAAATAAAATTATTTATATTGTTTTAATATAATTCAGGACTGTATACAATATTATACTAGTATTTATTATATTATATTACAATTCGAAGTCATATACTATATTATACTATATATTATTTGTCATATTATACTTGTATTATATTACAATTCAAAGCTATTTAATATATCAATTACAAATTTGACACTTTCTATTACTATTTATTAATTTTCAAAATATCAAGAAAGTATTTAATTTCAACTTTATTTAATAAAAGTTTAAAAAAAAATCCAAAAAAAAAGTGAAAATTACTTGCAACTATAATAAATACAATGGATCACTTATTGATTCATGAACAGAATTTTCATATAGATATCGAAAAACAAAAGGTAAACATTTAACAAATGAAGAATTCACATTTTGACACAGAATGAGAAATATTTCATCAAGTCGAATTATATCATTAAGCAACATTTAACAAAATCCAAGATTGAATAATACAAGTTCTGAAAATAATAAATCTAAAATTGATAATAATGAAGAAATAGATAATATTTTTTTTTTTATTAAGGGAATAACAAGGCTTTGTCTCATACATTGAAATTACACACGTGACAGGAAGTTCCAGCTATATATGGTATACACCTGGCTATATACATTTATGGAGAATATGATACGGACTTGATGTCTATTGCAATGTAGACTAATGCGGACTCATTTTCAAGTTGTTAGCCTGCCAATGTGACTTGTTGCCGAAAGAAATCCTACTACCCTACTACCTGTATCTGTATTACCCTTTAGAAACCTTCACAAATAATACTTGACAGGCCCCTGGGTCTGTAATACAGGACCCCTTTCATATCTCATTCTGCTGGGTATTCTTTTTACAATACCTATTATAGTATGCCTATGGAATATCCACGTGGAGTCTTAGATATCATCTCGTCCTGCTGGTGACTCTTTTTACATGACCTATTACAGCCTGCCTATGGGGTGCCCACGTGAAGTCTTGAATGGATTGTGATTTTGATAGAGACTCTCTTTTAACTAACATGTCTAAGCTCTGTTAGTCCCTTCTTAATGTCATGCAGATCTTTGACCTATCTGCAGGAGCTTGTTAGAACCTGTCTTGTGATGAGGTGACTTCAGCACTAAAATCAGCTGAAGCATCTTGTGATCTTTTGATTATCCCGTGATCGGACGGGATCTTGGCCAGAGGTGGCAGTGATCATCATAATAGAGCGGATATGATCTTTCTGTATTATCTAGGCTTAGGTAGTACTACCTCGCAGTGATATTGAACTCGGAAGCAGTGCATGGAGACCTGGGAACGCTACTACTGTGCTATAGATCCACAGGTCTAAGAAATAGATAATATATTTGAAGATTATTTAACATCAAAATACAAATTTTTACCAAATTTTAGCAAATTTTTGGATAGTCATTTTATGTAGATTTTATTGTGGATTATGAACTATAGAATTCAATTTAATTTATTGAATAGTGCAACAGATATATTATTAAAATTTATGAAATTGGTACTAATTGAAATTGGTGATAAAGAATTTGAGTTTTTTTGTAGTCTTTATATCTTATCAATAATAAACTTGGATTATCAGATCAGTTTATTAGTTTTGTGATATGTCAAAGATGCCATAAATTGTATAGACAGGATGATATTTTTGATTTTCAAAAAAACAATTAACTATCGATTATAAGGCATATTCATATTGAATTTTCTAATTTGACAATAAAATAAAGAAAAACTTGTAATTTCATATTGTCTACATAATTAGAGTTATTAAACAGAAATGTAATTAATTGATCCAATTTAGTTTTTTTATATTTTACTATTTGATATCAATTGTTGCAAATATAGAAAAATCATAATTTTGAATCTAATCTTCAATATTGAATAGATTAATCAAATATTGATGAACTTATATATGATATCTATAATGGTAATATTTAAAAAACTTTTATATATAAAAGCTCAGAATTATTTTTTAGCAAAGTGACAGTTAATTTGCATTTGGAATTGATGCTAAATATCAACTGGTTTCAACTGTTCAATAATAAAGTGCATAGTACTGGAGTTATATATGCAGCTATTACAAATTTGCTATACAAAATATGATTT